ATGCAGGATTTCGATCTCTCTCTTCCTCAGAAATAACTAAAATAAAGAGATGGTTTTATTTAGCCATTAAAAGGAATCTCTACCAAAATTACTGGCTCTGGAACATAGCATATCAGAAATCCAAAGACCCTTTTTTAGATCACTTACTGGTGTTATACAGTTTAAATTGACTGATGTGAATTCTCACATCCATAAAATCAAACAGTATCACCCAAACTATTTTCTAATGACCATCAAGGAAGGAAACAATGTCTATAATATTTTATTCCCATAATCCACTGCAAAATAAATTTCTCAATATATTTGTAAACAGCACTAGGCTAAGCTAAAAATACAGAGAAAATGGTCTTTATAAGTTAGATGAATAAAGCATACAGAAATAATTATGACTGACAAAATGGAGGGATCTCAGAAAAGTGTTTTCAGAGGAACTGGGCTGAGCACAGCAGTCAGAAAGAATAAAGTTGGATTTGATCAGGCTATAAGAATAAAAATAGTACTAGTCACTAAGTTTAACTAGGAAGAAGTAAGTTGGTTGCTATGTCCTTTGGGCTCACAAAACACATCACTCACCTGTTATTATATTTAATACACTGTAGAGTAGTTTATCTGTCATGCCTACTTAGACTAAATCCCTTAAGGACAGAAACCTTATTTGATACACTCCTCTATTCCTTATCCCTAGGCAAAAGGGCCTGGCACACAGAAAATAGATATTTTCTGGAAGGCAAGGGCAGGGTTTCCTATTTAAATTATTATACTTTAACATTACTTTTTGTTCAGGTCATTTATTCATTGTTTCTCAACTCTAAAATCACACTTCTAAACTCTGATCTATGGTGGTACACCTGAGACTGTGCAACTGTATTTCACACGTCCTTTGCCATTAGGTTTTGCCAATAGAGGTTCTAAATGGAGACTGGAAACAGAAAATAGATTTCTTCAGCTCAGTTCTTGTTAGGATAAACTGCAGTCATGGCCCTGGCAGTGGAACAATGCTGACTTGGGCAAAGTCCAGCACCAGATCCCTGGAACCTCTTCTCTGAGCTCTCAAGTTTTTACTTCTGTAATGCTTCCTTTTTGCTTTTACATCCATCTAATCAACTCCCCATATTAAATCCTCTTTATTATTCTTATTGATGTTTCTCTTTTCTCTACTGGAGCCTAAGACATTGCTAAACACTGTGATTCTAATTGCTGTCCTCTAAGACATCTTACTGGTTCAATAAAGGGGAAACAAAATTTGGAGTTATTTTATAGATAAAAACCATTTTATAAAGGTTAACTTGAAACTCTCTAAATTTGCTTCTGTTAAGTGAAAGCACAAAAACCACTTAACTTTTGTGATTTAAACTACTCAGCTTTGGAAAAACAGAAAATGAGAAATAATTTAAATAGTGCAGGCTAGTCCGTGCATATCTAGTCATATCTTTTTACTACAGTACATATCCTAAAGATAATGTGACATAGTAGAGTTGATCTATTCCCCAGTGTTCTCAGTCCCCATGAGTGGCTTGAGACTATGCTGAATGTGATTCTTATGTTTAAAGCCCTTTTTCTTTTTTTCTGTTGTTCAACATGATCCCTAACTATTTCACCTAGTATTCAAGGAAAGAAATGGCAATCTTTTCCAACACTAAAACTGAGCTGAAACTTAGCAGTATGTTGTTTTGCCTTCCTGAGCTATTTTCCAGAGTAAATTTTTTTCAGTGCTGGAGAATGAATCCAGGGCCTCACACATGCTAAGCACAAACCCCACCACTGGGCACTGAGCTACACTCCCAGCTCCAACCATAGTTTTTAATACGTATGATATTGACTTTCAAATGTAAGGTCTTTCTTTATAAACTATAACTTCACTGTAAAACACAGGGGGTTGGAATCTCCATGCAAGAAAGCCCATAAGCAACATCTGATGAAAATGCTTAGACGTTAGCTTGGCCTGTTACTTCACTTAACAGTGCACCCTCAATAGACAATTTATCCTGAGGCTAATTTTTTAAATAATTTTTCACTATTTTATTTAATACAGATAAACTAACATTTTAAAATTATAACAAATGGCAGTCATGTAGAAGTAGCAAACACGTTAATTCATTCCCAAAATGAAATGGGAAAAGGCAAATTTAAACAAAAGGAATCTTTCTCAGATTTTTTTTTTTTTTTTTTGGTGGCACTGAGGTTTGAACTCAGAGGCTTCATGCTTGCTAAGCAGGCACTATATCACTTGAGCCACTCTGCCAGCCAATTTTTGTGATGGTTTTTTCAAGACAGAACTATTTGTCCAGGACTGGCTTCCAACCTTGATCCTCCTGAGTAGGCAGGATTACAGGCATGGCCACCACACCAGGCTTTCTCAGAATTTCTGATGACATATATAGATGCTGAGCATCCAACAGGACATAGTACTAAGCACAGTCACGCTAGTCTACTTCAGTTTCAAACACCCAAAAGGCAAAAAGAATTGAGAACATGGCAGATTCTAGTGGAGTTCCTCCACACAGCATAAAACTTGATCACCTCCAGTCAGGGGGACTCATCACCCAGCTTCCACCTATGCACAAGTAAAGCCAGTTTCTACCTAAATAGCAAGGATCTCATAAACACAGACAGAATATCTATGTAAAATCAATTAAACTGTACTCTCCACAACAAAAAAATACTAGTAGACACAATAGGTAGAAAGGGTAGAGTAGTGGCTCAAGGGGTAGGGCACATGCCTAGGGGGTAAGGCCAAAAAAGAAAAGAAAAAGAGAATAGTGGGGAACAGAGAGGTTACCTAGACCTTTAGGGAATTAACTGGGTGTTACTGCACATATGTACCCCAACCCATACCTACTCAGTCAAGTGCAAATTAATGTCAATACATTACTATGCTAGGCTAGCTAAGATTTCAGACACATAAAAGAAATAGCTGTCTGATGACAATGTTTATCTTCCACAGGATATGTAATAAGCAACAGTAATTAAAAATCAATCGTATGTGTACAGAGTGCATGTAATCTCACAAGTATTTTCCTTTTTTAAAAACTGCAAATACTGTAATACTGAAAAACTGTGACATTTTTTTCTCCAGAATTCAATAAATGAATCATTTCAGAACTATGAGGTCCTTTAAGTCATTCATAATTTTAATAAAGTGTATTTTAATATTAACTTATTTCTCTTGCTGGAAGGAATTATACTTCTTTGCTAATGCATAGAAATTAAACTGTCACTGAAACATCTGGTTATATATTATTCATTAAGCATATATCACCTTTATTCCCAAGACTGCATAATGTAAACACAAATCATAAGTATATAAGATTAAAGGCATAAACATGACACATCAAACTGATGGTCAGTAATAGACAAATGAAATTCCAAACAATGCTGACCTGGTCCATATGACTCCCCACTCAAACCTTGGGGCTGGCTACCTGAGCTTTCCACACTAGCAGAGAAAAACTCAAAATTCCCAGTATTTCTGAATGTCTGCATTGTTTACCTTACTCTAATTTGAGATTTTCTGTGCAGCACATTTGAAGACCATTAGCTTATTTTTCAGATATTCAAAAGGACTAGCCTGACTCAGCCAATTTTCCTTCATAAATTCTCCATTTTATTCTTCATAATTAATCTTAAACGTAGATTTCACAAGGGTAATTGAGGGAAAACACTAAAATCCTTAGAAAAACTGAAGGGCCATATTTGCTATAATATCCCTGGAAAATGGAGCTTTATATGATAAAAAAGTAAACTAAATGTACAATCAAGATTTAAGATACCTGTTGATTGTGACAAGTAGAAATTTCAATGGAAAAAACAATATCCCAAGAGTCATACTGCTATTTAAATTCTTTGTAAGTCAAAGGTTCAAATTTCACTTTAAAAGAACCAAGACCTAAACCAATCTGAATTATTAAAATATTCATCAATTACACCTAATTCAAAACACATCATCTACCAATTACACTACATATTTTGCTTGGTATCGCGGAACTTCCAAAAGTAAATCATTTAATGCAGATGCTGACAATTACTTTTAGATAGAATACTCAGCTTAAAATACTGGAACCATGCCTCAATTTAATTTTTGGAAGAAATAACAGCCTATCACTAAAACGCTGAACGCACGTCTACTCTTTTCAGACACCTCAAAGAAACGACGTTTTCCACAACATTTTATAACATAAAGGCACACACATTCTCTAAAACTTCGGACAGCCCCCTTAAACACCATCCAAAGGGGCTTCAAGGAGATCAACCTCTAATTGGTCTTAGTGGGCAAATAATCCGCATGAACCTCAAAGTTTGAAACTGCGATTTTCCTAAGAGCATCTCTGGGAGGAGGGAAAGGAGCCTGACCACCACCACCAGGACGAGGGCTCCGCAGAAACCACAGGATCCCCGGAAACCCAGGCCCCCTCCCCCACGACTCTTGGGGGAAAGCTCGCGGCTCTGGAAAGCAGCAACAGATACTCCCGAGCAGAGCCGGCACTCCAAGAATGCGAGGGCCGGGGGGGATCTCCCTCTGCCTGCGGCGTAGGAACCCCGATTTCCAGGAAGCCCCCTCCGCAAAGAGGGACATTTGCACAAAGTGCCCTGCCCCACCCCCAACCCCCACGGCGCAGACACACATCTCCGGCTGCGAGGGGGAAGCCCAAAGAAAAAGCCCGCATTCCACGCAGCCCGCCTCCGGAGCGGCGCGGCAGAGGCTGGGCCCCCGCCCCAGGCGGCCGCGGAAGAAGGACAGAGGGACCGACGCACGGACTCCCGACGCCTCGCCCGCCGAGTCCTCACAACCAGCTCACACCCCTCCCTCCTAAAGCCCCTCCAAGAAACGTGAACAATGAGAAGCCGCCTCCCGGCCGTCGCCGCCCGAAAGCGACACACACACCCCCGCCCGCCGCGGGGCCGCAGTCTGATGTCCGCACCCGGCCCAGCCGACGCGTGTCCCGGCCCGTCGCTCCCGCACCCTTCGCCTCCCCGCCCGCCCTTACCCCAGCCCGACTCACCGGCTCCTGCCCCAGCCCGGGGCTCCGCTGGCCGCGGCCGGAGCAAGACTCAGGGAACAGCCGCCGCGGCCGCCGGCGCCGCCGCACAATATGGCGAGCCTCGGCTTCCGCAATGGAACTCGGGAAATACAACAGGGGCCGCTCAATATTCATGAGAGACTGAGGGGAAGCCGGCTCGGCCGGCACTGCGGGGAGGGCGGGAAGGAGCGAGCGAGCGAGGAGGCGGAGGCGCGGGACGGCGACGTGCACGGCGCGGGAGGCCCCAGCACAGGGGAGGGGGCGCGCCGCGTGCTGGCCAGGAGCTCCCGGCGCTGCCACGCCCCATCCGTGGGCACGCCCCGCCTCGCGGCCACGCCCCCTCGTAGCCACGCCCCGCGCCCCTCGACGCCCGACGCAGACCCCGGGCTACGCCCGATGACGGCGGGTCCGCAGTCTCTTTAGAGCCCTCTATGCCTGCCTCGGCCGGCTCCTTACGCCTCTCCCGCCGGCCGCTGAGGTTTAGGCTCAGGCTTCTCTCCCCTGACTGGGTGCTCTTATCCCACCCGGCAGAGATCCTCCTTAGGCTTTCACCTCCAGAACTTCACCTGAGCTCAGCATCCCCCGTCTAACAAACGCACTTTCCATCCTAGAGTAAACCGGCAAGCTCCAAGTATTCCAGGCAAAGTGACCTTCGCCTCTAAAAGTGTATTGTTGGACGTCAGTTAGCATTCTGATTATGCTGTTTACCTTGCTGCTATTTTTCTTTCTGTCTTCTTTCCACTGCTGTATTATCTTCCGAACTTGAGGTAAAAAGTGTCGATTAAATAGGTGTAGTCATTACCTAAAACAAAACCAGTTAGCCTACAAGAATTCATTCAGTGTTTCATAACGCATAAATTAAAAATTGAAGAAGTAACGAAGAAGTAAATGAGTTCTCTAATTTCAAGAGATAGTGTTGGTGAGATAACCATGTTCTCTTGAAAAAAAAGAGCCCAACAGTATCAGACGGTAATGGGAAGGCGCTTGCCACTGAAAAGTATGGACTGCACTAGGAATTGAGCAAACTGATTTATAGTCTCTAATAAGTATGTGACTCGAGTAGATTAAATAGCTCCTCTAGACTTTGTTTTCCTCATTTGTACAATGAGACCATTGAATGATTCTCAGGTCCTTTCCAGTTCTTGAGCTCTCTAAAATTCTCTGTAAGCAACTCCAAATACAACACAGGAATTTACATAGGGATTTGGTAAAGAAAAATACCAATTTCAGCTCATGCATTCAGGGACGATTTCCCCAAGGAGCTAGAATACGAGTTGGTCTTTGGCAGGTTTGTTGGAGAGGTGGAAAGAAAGAGGACAGACATTAAAATATTAAAGACATATTATGCATGCTACTAATTCCCATCAAAGTAAACAAGAACAAAGAATTTTTCTTTTTCAGTGGCTGGAAAAGTTTCTCCCAGTATTCATTCATAGCTTAAAATGAATGACAGTTCCCTGACTTTACAAGCCCGTCAATGTAAACTTTCTCAGATGTCAATAAAAAACCAAAACAAACATGAATGCTCTGCTCCTCCACTTTCTAGAAACAATACAGTGGCACGGCATGTCCCTTTAATGACTATGTGTGTAATTCAATTAAAGATGGATATTCATACTTCAGAAACTTTTGCTCTAGTTAAAATGCTTTTGAAAATCGAATATCTATATTAAGCAACTCAATTGTTGAGGAAAGTGATCATTTGTAGAAAACACAGGAACTTTATGAATAAAGTTTAAATATAACACTTTAAAAAGATTCACAGGAGAGTTAGTGGAAAATGGATAACTTTTGGGATATTTGGATTAAATGTGATTAAAAAAAACTAGACCTCAGGCTAACATCCTTTAATATGAAAGGCACTGCTGACAAATTAATGCAATTTCTTTTATCTATTTTATCTCTTACTCCAAAGCTTGGTACCAGACTATTAATCAGGAAAGGTTATGATGATATAGCAACAAACAGCTCAAGAATCTGTGTGCTTTTCTGGGTGGAGGGGCAATATGGTGTTTGAACTCAGGGCCTCACACTTGCTAAGCAGGCACTGTACCACTTGAGCCACTCCACCAGCCTTTTTTTGTATTGTATGTTTTCAAGATAGGGTCTCATGAACTACTTGTTGGAGGCTGGCTTTGAACCATGATCCTCCTGATCTGTGCCTCCTGAGTAGCTAGGATTATAGGTATGAGGCACTGGCGCCTGGCTCAGAGCTGCATGCATTAACACAATAAAAGTTTCTTGTCTGCTCATGCTTCATGTGGATCACCCTCATTGTTCAATCTCTCCAGGACCCAAATGACAGAGACTCCACCATCTTTTAGCTGTACCACCTGAAACACAGCAAGTCATTCTTTATAGCAGAAGAAAGTGACTCAAAAATAACTGAGCTTTTTACAACCTTAACTTGGAAGGGAAACAGATCACTCACTGATTACACTTAATTGCCAGAACTAGTTATAACTAGTTATATCTGCACATCTGCAAAGCCACTGAATCCTACAGGAGGATAAAGGGTCAACGTCAACCACCTTGACCCAACCGGTTAGTTCCTAAATGGTATGAGAAACACTCCAAGAAGTGTTATTCTGTAACACTGGTTCTCTTGGGTGACTTCAGGAAAGTTATGCCTTCAAAAATGATCTACTTAGACAGGGAGAGTAGCTTAAGTGGTAGAGCGCCTGCCTAGCAAGCATGAGGTCCTGAGTTCAAGGCCCACTACCACCAAAAAATTTAAAAAAAAAAAAGACCTACTTATTGAGTTGACTGTCACAGAGTGTACTTTGCAATTTCTTTTTTTTTTTTTGAAAAAAAGGGAAAAAAAACCCTGTTTTTTTGGATAGGGTCATTTTGTGACTCAGGTTGACCTTGAACTGAACCTCTCAAGTGCTGGGATTACAGACATGCACCGGCATACCTGGGTCCCCTTTGTTTTAAGTGTACAATACAGACAGTCCCCAACTTATGATGATTGACTTATAATTTTTGACTTTAGGTTAAGTGATGATGTTCCATAAATGCCTTTTCAGTTTATAATATTTTCAAGTTATTATAGGTTTATTGGGACGTAACCTGATATAAATTGAGGAACATCTGTATATTAATCAATGTAAACTCCATTAGTCAATGAATCAGTAGTGATTTGACATATGGAGACTACACTCTTTAACTAGTGTTTTGACTTCACATAAAAAAATATCACCGCCAGGTGCTGGTAGCTTACACCTATAATCCTCGCTACTTAGGAGGCAGAGATCAGGAGGATCACAGTTCAAAGCCAGCCCAGGGAACTAGTTTGGGAGACCCTATCTTGAAAACACCATTCACAAAAAAGGGCTCATGGAATGGCTCAAGGTGAAGGCCCTGAGTTCAAGTCCCAATACCACAAAAAAAAAAATAGCACCCTGAAGCTGGGCATAGTGAAGCACAAAGGCCCAGCACTCCAGAGGCTGAGGTAGGAGGATCCTCAGTGGCCTGGGCCACACAACAAGACACTGTCTTAAAAAAAAAAAAAAATCCTGAAAAAACACTCCAATAACACTACACCTGCAGGTTAAATGTACTAGTTGAAAGGGATATGCATGATGTTTTAAGTAGAACATTAATACTACATATACAAGGATCATGTTATGGGTGGATGACTGGATGAACTCTAGGCAAAAAGATTCTTTTCCCTTAGGACTTCAGAAGTTGTACTAGGTTAGTTACACAATGAACTGGCTAGCATCTCTAAGGAATTACAAAGCTCATCTCTTTACTTGTTTTCACCAATAGTCATGCTACAAAATTAGATTACTTCAGCTCAACAAATTTTTACTGAGTATCTAGTCTGTGCCAAGTACTTTGTTAAGTTCTTTGAACAGGAATATCAATATTACTAAGCTATACATTCCTTAAGAACAGAAATCCTGTTCACCAGCATATACCTAGAACACAGTGCTTGGTGCTTAGAAGATGCTTGGTATGTGTGTTAAGAGAATGAAAACTGGAACTAGGTGCTGGTGGCTCATGCCTGTAATCCTAGCTACTTGAGAGGCTGAGAACAGGAGGGCTGTGGTTTAAACCCAGCCTGGGAAAATAGTTCTGAAGACCTCATCTCCAAAATAACCAGAGCAAAATGGACTGGAGGTGTGGGTCAAGTCAAGTGGTAGAGCTTTGCAGACTTGAAACCCTGAATTCAAACCCCAGTCCCGAGAGAGAGAGAGAGAGAGAGAGAGAGAGAGAGAGAGAGAGAGAGAGAGAGAGAGAGAGAGAAAGAGAGACTGGGATTCTTTGATCCCCATGTATATATGAAACAAAACAGTACACATGAGCTCATTTTGCCTCACTATCATTTAACAGTAGAAATTTCTCTCAAGATTGCATTTAGAGAACTCAGAGGTTTCTCTATCTAGGCATTATTTCCTAAATGGAAAGTCATACTGCCTAATGTATATGTATCGCATGAATTTCTTTTCAGTATGTACCAAGTATCTTAACTGTCACCAGCTGGTGTGAGATGAAGACTAGTCACATACTACTACTAAGCTATGTGTGTGTCATAGTTTATAGATTACTGGTAGATCCATAACTTCACTAAATCTTCTGAATAGTACTCCAAGGTATTATTCCTTCTTTGTAGATGAAAGAATGTGATTTCTGGGTTCAATAACTCTCCTAAACATTGAGCTTGGAAGTGGCAAAACTGAGGCTCAAACCTTGGTCATTTGAGTCCCAGTGCAGGAGGTCTTTCATTATTCCACACCTGTGTCACCACTCCGTGCTACACACTTACGGCAACTGAGGTATCTTTCCTCTTCCTAGAAAGTAGTCTGTGAGAGCCAGGTGCCAGTGGCTCACACCTGTAATCCTAACTATACTGGAGGCAGAGATCTGGAGGATCAAGTTTTGAAGCCAGCCTGAGCAAATAGTTACTGAGACTTTATCTTGAAAATACCCACCATATAAAAAGGGCTAAAAGAGTAGCTCAAGTGGTAGAATGACTGCTTAGAAAGTATGAGTACCTGAGTGAGGCAAACATATCCAGATCTTCCTGTCCACATTGTTATTTATGCCAATTCTCAGGGTGGTCTATTTTTAAGAAGCTAGAAATAAGGCAAACTATAACAATCCATGAACCTGATCCACTGACAGGAAACCAGTAGGTTTTGTTTTTGCTTTCTTAGGAAACTTCCTTAAAGAGAACAAAACAAAATTGAAAACAAAAGGCTAGAA